GTAAAGCAAAAAGGGAGTCCTGGACAAAGATGAGGGCAGGGTGTGGGGACAGCTGGGCTGTAGTCTAATCAATGTGTCCATGAAAGAGTCATCGAACCCTCTGGAATCCACTTCCTGACCTGCAAAGTCAAGACACTGGAACCGATAACCATTGCCCCTGACTCGATTTCTAACGTCTTAAGTGAAGTGTTAAATAAGGCATCCCAGTGACATAATGAATAACTTAAGCAAATTGTTCTCACTTACATAAATAAAAATACAAACACAAAGATAAGTTAATTGTAATGAATTTTAAGAAATTCTACAAACATAAATAATGGATATCAAGGAAGGCAGGTAAAGGAGGCAACACTAGGAGAAAAGAGAATCCTCTGGAAGAACCCTAAATTGGAATTTACAGTTTATACCAAACTCTACCTGGACAAGAAGAAAAGTTAAGGCAGGTGAAAGTATTAAATGAATAAAATGCATTAATTTAATATGTTGTGTGCACTTCCTCCAACTCTGGATTTCATAACATCTTATTAGTAGCTAAAAATCAGCCATGAGAGTATTTATACCACAGGAATCAGCACATGCTACAAACCAGGACTTGTTTTTATTTGGAGATCCAGTTATTAAACATTTACTGATATATCACCACCTACCTACTCCAAACTTCTATTAAACAGGTTCCTGAAACAATTTCTTCGTTTCACTTTGATCTAATAATATGTAGAGCCTTGTTATAAAACCATCTATTATTTCTTTATTACCCTGTAATGTGGGCCCAATTCAGACTTCAGCATAGAATGGCTTATGGTTAGAACTGGAAGTATAATCTGGGGAGAAATTGAACTACTTAACATGTATTAGTCATGTGGCATGGCTAAATATAAAATATGAGGTCCCAGGATGTTTGATTATCAATATGTGTTGAGAACTCTAGAAGTTTAAAAAACATAGTAAATCATTCATTTGCTTACATCCTGCCAGTGTCATTGCACAAAGAATAAAAGTGATCTCTCTACAGTAACCTTCATGACAGAATCTAACTCAACTCTGATTCATATTCAACCTCTCTTGGTTCTGCTAACCTCTTTTCTAATCCTCTTATTCACTGAACTCATTCCCATCTCAGCATTTTTGTGCCACTCTTTACTTTGCAGGAACCACTATTTAGTGAGTTCTCTTTTCTTCTCTCTTCTTTTCTCTCTTTCCTTTCCTTCCTCATCTCCATTTCTTTCTCTCCTCTGCATCATTCTTCTCTCACTTCCTCAGAAAGCTCGCTCAGCCCACCCTGTACAAAGTGGTACACTCCCCCCACAGTTATGTGTATCTCATTACCCTTTTTATTTTCTTTGTACATTTGTCCTATTTATGAATCTCTTGACTTCCATTGTCCATCTTCTCATAGTTGACTATAATATTCAGAAAAGAGATGATTTTATGTTCATTATTTAATTATGAGTGTTGTATCCTTTAATAGTGGTTGGCCCAGAATAGATGTGACCACAAGAGAGAAGGAAGGAAGATAGGAGGGAAGAGAATTTAGTATAGTGGCCTTGATTGAGGAGGGTCAAGTTACTGAAATACTGAGAAGTTCATTAATAGGCAGCTTCACTTCTCAGAAGTTAGTTCCTCTTCTTGGACTATAATGACAGCATGAAATGAAAGCTTCATTGTACAAGTAAATGTAGCCAAAATCTGCAAATACACATCTCTTTTCAAGTACAACTATTTATTGGAGTTTTCAAGCATTAGTATTTATTGGAGTAGCCATGGACATCCGAAAAGTTAGAGCTTTGCAAACTTAGTACTTGGACTTTAAAAACAAGTACAATAATATTTATCTCCGATTCGTAGTCAACTCTCTTTTGTGAAATTTTATGATTGTGGATGTAACATATGATACTGGTCTGTGTACTTGACACCAAGCTGAGTGTAATAAACGAAGACTAAGAAGAAGCATCATGAAGGGAAGGGAGGAGCAATTGGCTTATTTCTCTTCGGAAATGTTGTAGATCGAGGCTGTTTGGTTTTGCTCCTTTTGGCAGATCATTTGAACTAATTGGATGTTCAGCCACGGGTTTGAAAGCATTTTTAAGGCACAATCTCAGCATCCAGTTAATTCAAAGACAAATTGTTTCTGAGGCTACTGCTTCAGGGTATGCTGCTTCATTTAATATTAATTTAGGGGGAAACATCGAAGTTTATTTCCTAAGGCTTTGGGGTGTTATTGCACTGGCTCCTATTGATTTTATTATTATTATTTCTGAAAATGTATTGCATGTACAAAGTATGACTTGACTCCCTGTCTGCCAGCTAGAAAAATGTAACATTTGTGCTTGAGGATGTTATAACTGAGAAAGAAAAGACAACTATACCAAAGCATATGTATATGTAGATATGCAAAGAATATTTATCTTGCCAAACATAACTTAGATATAAAAGAGAAGGAAATTACAATCAGATACATAGGAGGAATAATTAATGGGACTTTGAGTTTTGTATTCAATCAGATTTTTTCCATTTTCTGGATTATTGAAAAGAGAATTAAACTGAATAATCTCTGATATTTCTGAGACTCTATTTTAAGGTATAAGCAGAATTTTACTACAAATAATGCTCTTTTGAATATAACAAGTTTCGTAGCATTGAGAGATATGATGTAAAATTCAAGTTTGTTTATTTGTATGTGCCCTGGGCCCTCTTAAGCACAGTAAAGCTTTATCATGATAAGAGTTCTGTAGTTCTCTGTCTGAGCCTCATCACATTGTTTAGAAGCAGGGACAATGAAAATAAACTGAAATACTAATCATGGAATAGTATTCTAAAGGTTAACACAACCCCCAAATTCTTATTTTATTCTCAAAATTAATGGATTTGTTGAAAGATTACTAGCACTTTACTTTGACATCAATCTGTTAAACCAAGCAAAAGTTTAGCTTACCTAAATAATTTATTAATATTAGCTTAATTAATGATTCTTTGACCAACTTAATATAATAAGGCAATTAATTGACATCTGAAAGATAATGCTTTGTCATATTAACAATCTGCTCTACTTGTTTGAGGTATAGAAACTACTACAGAATTAGATTAATTCATGAAATTACTGCGGCCTCTATTCTTTGTTGGTTTCTCCCAATAGTACCTTGAAAATGTAGAAAGATTGAAATAAAAATGGCAAAAACAAAATAAAAGATCTTATTCAGACAACCACCTCGTTCATGTCACTACTAATACCATCCCCTAAGCAAGGACACCAACCTGCTCCCTTATGTCCACACTCTTTAGGCTTCTTTTGTCATATAGTGTCCCTTTGAGATTGCTTCTGGTGGTCCTTTTGAAGCTGATGTCACCTAGGTAAATATTTCAGACAGATGAAAAGATGGTAATGACACACACATGATGATTTCTCTCAAAAGGACTCTCCCTGAGTCCACTACATCCCTCAGTAGAATCTTACTATGCTTCCCCTGATGTTACTTTTTTTCACCCAATACTCTATGCAACCCTGACACCTTACACAGCACACAGGGGATCTGGAGGATTTCAGATATTAATTTACTTGCTTTGAACACACAAGAGTAGTAAATGGTGATTCCCAAATAACTCTATATGGTCAATGAGAAGCTTTAGCTATTTCTGTAAGCAACAATATGTCCATAAATATGTCTATATTATACATAATTCAGAATAAGTAACCAACATAATTTACAAATATATATATATCATCTTTAATGGCAGCATCTACCCATACGTGACCCCCAAAGTGTATCATAAAACTTACTCAAATACTTCTATGTTTCATGCAGGATGTGTGTGTGTGTGTGTGTGTGTGTGTGTGTGTGTGTGTGTGATTGTGAAGCTTTTTAAAGAAGTTTGTGAAAGAAAAAGAGGTTGCAAAGAAATATTCACAAAATATAGCTTCTCATTGTTTACTATACTCAGAAGTATTCTTCCCAAAATATTCTTTTTTATATTTCTTTTTTAAAGTATATCTTATTGATTTTGCTATTACAGTTATCCCATTTTTCTCCCCTTTATTCCCCTCCACCCTGTATACCCCATCCTACCCTCATTCCCCATCCCCTTAGTTTATGTCCATGGGTCGTACATATAAGTTCTCTGACTTCTCCATTGCCTCTACTATTCTTAACCTCCCCTGTCTATTTTGAACCTACCATTTATGCTTCTTATTCCCTGCACCTTTTCCCCCATTCTCCCTCTTCCTTCTCCCCACTGATAACCCTCCATGTGATCTCCATTTCTGCGACTCTGTTCCTGTTCTAGTTGTTTGCTTAGTTTGTTTTTGCTTTAGGTTCAGTTGTTGATAGTTGTGAGCTTGTTGTCATTTTACAGTTCATATTTTTATCATCTTCTTTGTCTTAGATAAATCCCGTTAACATTTCATATAATAAGAGCTTTGTGATGATGAACTTCTTCAATCTGACCTTATCTGGGAAGCACTTTATCTGCCCTTCCATTCTAAATGAAAGCTCTGCTGGATAGAGTAATCTTGGATGTAGATCCTTGCCTTTCATGACTTTGAATACTTCTTTCCAACCCCTTCTTGCCTGCAAGGTTTCTTTTGAGAAATCAGCCAAAATATTCTCTTATATGTATTTTTAAATGTCTAACCACAAATAATTTAATGATTTGTATGTTATATTAATTTCAACTGTGACAAGGGTAATATATAACTTTTCTCAAGAATAAGTAATTTGAAAGTTGTGAATATGTATCAGTGCTCATTGATATTATACTTCCTTTTCATTGTGCTTTGCACCAGAAGACATGTATTTAATATTCATGTAAAATGCTTTCTTGGCAGCCGGTTACTATCTTCGCAATGAAGAGCCCATTGATGATACAGAACAAAACTTTCCTTTCCTCTTAAGTAGAAGACTGCCTATTATTCACTGTCCTTTTTTGTCGCATTGAAGAACAGGGAACTCTTATTCTTTCTAAGAAATGGCCTTTCAGATTCAGTAACAACATGTTCTGTTCCCCAGGAAATAAAAGAAGATCGAGAAAGGGCGCGGCTAGACTCCATGGTGCTGCTAATTATGAAACTGGACCAACTTGATCAGGACATTGAGAATGCGCTCAGCACCAGCTCCTCTCCGTCCAGCACACCAACCAACCTGCGGCGGCACGTTCCTGTGAGTCTTCCACTTTCTACTTCTCTTCCCACGAGCATGTTATCTCTTTACTTCGTACAGTCCCTCCTGCACATGAAACATCTTTGATGGTAGCGTCTACCCATATGTGACCCTAAAAGTGTTTCATAAAATTTACTCAGATACTTCTATATTTCATGCAGGGTCTGTAAGAGAAGTGCATGACTCAAAAGAAAATGATTATTATTAGTTAGATCGAAAGAGGGTCACCCTGGGAAATTATGTTTCCTGGTGATCAAATCCTCTTCATTATGGTCTTTTCCTTAATTATTCAATGATATGCTATGAACACTATTAGCAATGTTATGTCTGTCTTACTTAGTATCTTATTTCCATTATCTGCACATTTGCATTGCATGTAGATGACTAGTAAATATTTGCTGCATGGATGGATGGATGAATGGATGGACACATCCAGCATACTACAAGAAAGAACTTAGATGAACTCAAAGACACTCTAAAGTTAACTCAGGGAATAAGACAGAAGTGAGAATTTTATTCTGTGCATTCATTTATATAAGAATGATTACTCCTCATAGATTCTGACACTCATAATTTGAATGACACAGATTCCAGATTGACTATACACTTTACATATTTATTATTAGCTCCATGATAAATGGCTTCGATTTTGCAGATCTAGCAAATGTGATGGTAAAATGTCCCTGTAATTCAGCCATGTGTTTTTTTCTAATTAATCTGTTACTTTCATTATACAGTAATAAACACATTAAGTCAAGAAATTAGGTACTTCCCTAAATCAAAGGAACAGGAAATCTTATATATAAATTTGAGCTTCCATCAAAATAGAACTATTCTGTATCAAGTCTTTTACTTAGCATAGTTCTACCATGGATTCCATAGTTATTCAAGACTCCTTCTGGCTGTGGGACAGAATATTTCAAAGTAAATAAACAAACTAAAATAGTAACTAAGTTCAGTATATACTAGGTATTATTCTAAGTTCTCGACATACGTCAGCACATTTTTTCTTCACAACACATTACAAGTGAGTGAAAAGCATAGAGAAGTTAGTCATCACATACACCAGAGACAGGATGCAAACCCAGCCGGTCCCCATCCAGAGCCAGGCATGTGACCACCACACCATACTCCGTTCTCTAGTTGACTATAATGGAAATGCCATGGCTTGAACAAAAAAATAATTAAAAATGAATATGAAATTAAGTACTTCAACCTAGAAAGCCAGTCGAAATTTTTGTTTTTTCCTTGTAACCTTCTGGATAATTTTTTCTCATCCTTCGGGATTAGTCTCAAATGTCTTCTTTAGGGTTGAGTCTTCCCTACATCTCCTCTGTACTCCCAGACAGAGCCACCCACCCCTTCCCTGGTGCTGCCACAGTGCTTGCAGGCCACATTTTTAGCAGGACCACATTTTTAGTAGGACAGGCATCCATCCAAATGGAGGAAATGCAGTCAAACTAATCTAAAGACCAACAAGAAGGGATGTTTAATCTTGTTTACATAGGACAGGTGTATAGAAATGTCATAGTCATTTCCATCAACATTTTTAAAACCAGAAATAACCATATCTTTCTATAGGAGTACTCCTTAGCACTTCTTTGCTACAAATGTAGGCATAGAACACGTTTTTTCTTCTAAAATTGCCTAGTGTGAGTTGTTCAATCTCTCTCCTATCTCTTTAATCTTTCCCCTTTTCCCTCTACGTTGAGCTTTCCTCAATCCCCAAGTATTTCGGAGAAAAACCACAGTCCAGAATTCTGCTGTGTCCAACTCCATGGTGTTTTCTTCATTGTAGAGAACAAGACAGGCAGGATCTGTTAGACATGCTTCTCTGTTGAATGATAAAGACAAAAAAAGAGGGGAAGCAAATGTGGGTGACGGTTTTGAAATTTGCCTGTATCTACATCTTCCATCTCCACTTAAGGTATAAGCAGGATTTTGTATTATATGCACGATCTCATGGAATATCACTACCATTGCTGAATAATGGTTCATTCTGTAAATAAATATGTACTTCCAGGTTGTCAGTTCAACAGATACTTAGAGTAGGCAGAATAACACATTAGAAACATTAAGAACGTTGAAGTTTGCAGGCCCGGGTCCAAATGGCCACTTTGAAGCTGACTGAGAACACAAGAAAATTATTAATTTCTCACCTTCACGATTGTGTGAAAAGAAGGAGATGTTGTTTCCTGCCTAATGGCTCATTGGGAGGAGTAGACGAGAGAATGTACGTAAGACATGTTGTGCCGCAGGCTGGGTGGAGAGTGCAGCTTGGTGTGTGTTCATCTCCCTTCCTTCCCCCAGGTGCTCCCCCACACCCAACACTGGGACAAACCGAACAAAACCTCTCCCAAAGCCCTCCAAACTTCTCTTTTTGGCCTTTATGTTTATTTTGGGTCACCCCTTGTTCTTTACTGCTGTTCCTTGGTATTTAAAGCTAACTTTAAAATTCTCTCATCATCAAAATATTTTCCACAGGCGCTTTCCATTGCTTTTGATAATTGTGCCATGGAATAAAGGGATTATAACAGAATGATCATGACCTTGATTATCCACGAGGAAGCACTGCCCAGATTCAGAGAGACTCCCTCTGCCACTCCCTCACACTGTACTGTGAATTTATAGTTTAGGAGGGAGGACAAGACGCACAATAATACAGAGACCTCGATTTGAGATTATTTTTGAGAAAATGCTGGAGCAAATTCTACTTATAGTAGAATATTTAAAGGATAATATAGACTGGAGTCTTTAAGGTGAAAAATAGATATATTAAAAGAAGAATAGAGGTAAAGACTTTAAGGAGGCTGCCTTGATAGAGCTTAACAAATGGGGGCCAAATCGATCTCATTGTTAAGGCCAGCTCTTCCACAGAATGTGAATTTGGTCGATTGAATTGCCTTAAGCCTTGGCTTCATCATCTGTCAAGTGATAATGATACATTGGCTTCTACACACACTTGGTGAAAATAGAAGCAGAGAATAGCTGTAAAGTCTTGTCTTTAAAAAGTAAAAACACACAAATGGTTGATTTTTAAAGTTTTATTATTTTACCTCAGAATTGTTGTTAGAAAGATTCAAGGTTACCCTGTTATTTAAAATCAAGTTATAAACAAGAAGGAAAAATTAATGCAAGACAGTTCTGATGTACATAAAGGTCAAACGTATATAGCTTATAAGTTATCTGCTACCCATAATTACACTTGTGATGTTTATAAATTACCTGCTATTAGTGAGTGTTCATTTGATGTTGGTTCCATCTGAAAGTTTAATGAATGCTATTTCTCTTACAGTAAATGATTATCTTTTCCTTGCAGAAAGAGAAGATATGGCCACTTATCGGAAATCATTCAGGGGATGAGAAATTTGGTTAGGGCCATGTAGTCTTAAATATACACACACCCCTAAATAGTATATATTCCATTTTTCTTTTAATTAGCATTGTGTATGTCATTTGTACTCCTTTTTAATTTTTAGCCCACTTTTTTCTTTCTTTTTTGCAGTTTTGAGATATAATCGACATATAACATTGTGGACGCTTAAGGTGTGCAACGTGGTGATTTGACACACATACGGCAAAATGATGACCACACTAAAATCGGTTAACACAGCCATCACTTCGTGTACTTACAGTTGTGTGTGTTGAGAACATTTAAAGTTATTCTCTTAGCAACTTTTGAGAATATAATACAGTCCTGTTAACTACAGTCACCGTGCTGAGTGTTAGACCCCAGAACTTACCCATCTTATAACCGGAAACTTTTACCCACTCTGACCAACATCTCCCCACCCCCTGCTAGCCCCTGGCTGCCACCATTCTGCTCTGTCCTGTGAGTTTGGCTTTTTGTTTTGTTTTATGTTTCTAGATTCCACATTTAAGATTGCACAGTATTTGTGTTTCTGCTGATTTATTTCATTGGTGCTAATGCTTTCAAGTTCCATCATGTTCCCAGAAGAGGCAGGATTATCTTCTTTTCTATGGCTAAGTAATATTTTATTGTATGTGTGTGTATACATATAATATTTTATTGCATTTATGTGTGTCTATATATGAGAGTGTATGTGTGTGTACATATGTATGTGTACTGTTAATTCGAATAGGCAAAATAATACATTAGAAACATTAGGAATGTTGAAGATGTGATATGATATATATATATATACACACGCACACGTATAACCGCATCTTCTTTATCCATTCATTTACCAGGGGACACTTAGGTAAATTGTTTCCCTGTCTTGGCTGTTGTGAATAATGCTGCAGTGAGTGCAGGGTGCATGTGTCTCTTCAAGGTAATGACTTCAATTTCCACCCAAAGGTGGAATTGCCGAATCATATGATCATTCTATTTTTAACTCTCTGAGGAGCCTCCGTACTGTTTGCAACAACTTGCATTCCCACCAACAGTGCACAATTTCCCTTTTCTTCAAGTCCCCATCAATACTTGCAAGTCCCCATCAACACTTGTTATCTCTTGTCTTTTTCTTTTGTTTTTTTTTTTAGAGAGGGGAAGGAAGGGAGAACAAGAAGGAGAGAAACATCAATATGTGGTTGCCTCTTGCACATCCCCTACTGGGTACCTGGCCTGCAACCCAGGGATGCGCCCTGACTGGGAACTGAACCAGTGACTCTCTGGTTTTCAGGATGTCACTCAATCCACTGAGCCATACCAGCCAGGGCTCTTGTCTTTCTGATAATAATCTTGTAACAGGTGTGAGGTGATATCACATGGTGGTTTTATTTTTCATTTTCCTGATAATTAGTGGTGTTGCACATCTATTTATGTACCTATTTATGTTAGCCATTTGTATGTCTTTTTTGGAAAAAATATCTACTTAGGTACTCTGCCCATTTGTTTTGCTGTGGAATTGTATGAGTTCCTTATGTATTTTGGATATTAATTCCTTATTTGACATATGGTTGCAAATGTTTTCTTCCACTTCTTTAAGTTGTTTCTAATTCTGGTGATTATTTAGTTTGCTGTGCAGAATCTTTTCAGTTTGGTGATATCTCATTTTTTTGCTTTTATTGTTAGTGTTTTTGGTTTTATTTAATAATCATTGCCAAGACCAATGTTAAGGAGTTTTTCTGCTATGTTTTTTCTAGGACTTTTATAGTTTCAGATCCTACATTTAAGTCTTTAATTCATTTCAAGTTGATTTTCGTAAGTGGTGTAAGAAGGGATCCAAATTTATTCATTTGCATGTGAATACCCACTTTTCTCAAAAGCATTTACTTAAATGACTATTTTTTCCTCACGAAGTATTCTTGACCCCTCTGTTAAATTTTCAGTGACCATGTATGCATGTGTTTATTTCTGACTCTCTATTCTTCTATCCCACTGGTCTACGTGTCCGTTTTTAGGCCAGTACCATACTCTATTGATTACTATAGTTTTGTAATATAGCTTGAAATCAGGAAGTGTGATGCTGCCAGCTTTAGTTTTCTTTCTCAAACTTGCTTTGACCATGGAAGGTCTTCTCTGGTTCCAAAAAAAATTTAGGATTGTTTTTCTTATTTCTATGATGAATGTTTTTGGATTTTTGAAAGAGATTTCACGGAATCTGTAGATCTCTTCAGGTGGTATGCACATTATCACAATTTTTATTCTTTAAAAAATATGGGACATCTTTTCATTTATGTATCATTCCAGTCCCTTGGGTATCAGTGTACAGATCTTTCACTTCCTTGGTTAGAGATGACTGTTTGTTAGTCTAGTGATTCTTTCATGAAACAACATTTAATGAGTATGTTCTCAATGCAGGCATTGTTCTATGATCTGGGAAATGTATCAGCGAATGAGACACATAAACTACCTGCTTTTATGATAAGTAGATTCCATCAGAGGAAGACAGACAAGGGTTAGAAAAATAGATGAATTAAAGTGCATAGATAGCAGATAGGTAGACAGGTAGATACATAGATTTAGGTAGATAGGTAGATAGATAGAAAGCAAATGGATATAATTGATATATGGTAGATAAGCAAAGAGATAGGATTGTAAAAGAGGGAATGGTATGCTATAAAACTTTAAGGGAGGAAATACTTTAGCTTGAAATGTCAAAGGATGGTTTTCTGAGCTAGTGATATTAAAATTGAGATCTGAGTGACAAGAAAGAGCCAGCAAAGGGAACTACTAGGGAAGGGAACAAGAAAGGACATAGTCCCTGACATAGAAACTAGCTCATGTACCAGAAGGGCTGAGAGACAATGAGCATGGCGGGAGCATACTAAGAACCAAGAAAATGGTAGAACATAAAGCCAATGAATGAGGATACAAGCTGGATAATATTTGACCATGTGGTCTATGGTAAAGTTGAGGTGTAGAAATAGTAGATGTAAAGATATTTAACTCACCATTTTCTCAGGTCAAAATTTTGAGTGATAAGTGCCTTTATTTTCATCCTTCTCCATTCTCCTAACCCCATCTTTCCTCTATGTTCTCAGGCCACTGTGTAAAACATACAGAACATTTGATAAATTAAAAGCACAGCCTTTGGAGAGATTAAGGAGTAATTTCCTTCCCTCAGCAGGTGTCTTACCACATATATGTACCTGTTGCTAGTAACAATATTTATAGTAATGGCTAATATTTAACGAAAATTGTGTCCATTACATACACTTTGCTTATATCTTGCTCAGTCCCATGAAACCCTATGAGTGCATGCTATCATTCTACCCATTTTCAAATGAGGGGATTGAATGGCACATGACAAAGCATAATTTCTGCCCTCAAATATTTCCTAGTTCATTAGATAGATACCTGAGCTAAATAACTCTAGTCCATTGTGTAGGTGTCATGATGGTGGTCTGATGGGAACATAGCAGAGAGCAAGGAGAGGAAAAATGAGAACTGTCTTTTCATTAGAAGTTACAATGACCCTGCTGCATGAGGGGTGTGAAGAGAGTAACTCAAGGTCATATAGCGAGTAAGAGTATCTATCTGTGGGCTGCTCCCTCCTGACTCACTGCAGTCCCCTAGCTAGCTCCCACTGTGGTCCCTTCCAGTAATTCACAATCAACTGTTAAATTACCAAAGTTGTATATTATCTCTTGCTTCGGTACTTGCCTTCTAAAATCACAGAATTATGCATAATTCTGGGTGACACGTCACTTGTCAACAACTCTTTAGTGTGCCCGTGTGCACTGGGAGGAGGAGGAGGTGGAAAGGTGCTGGTGGCGGGGAGAAAGGCATGGGGGGAGCATGTGCGTGCCCTTCATATCACTGCATTTTTAACAGGATCTGGAGTCAGGATCCGAGAGCGGAGCAGATGCCACTTCAGTAAATCAGACATCAGTGAATTTGCCATCTAACACCGAGTCTGCTGACCTCCCATCATCCACCCCAGGGACCAATTCTGGAACAAAACCCAAGTCTACGGTAAGTTGTAAATGATAGCAGCCAGTGTCAATGTGAAGTGTTGATGATCATAAGGTAAGAACTGATATTTCATCCATTCAGTATAGAAGAAATACTCTTGGAGTTTTTAGTTGCAGGGACTCAATAATATTTAAGTGAAACCCAATGTGTGCTGTTTATTTTACAAATGATAATGCAAATGCTTCTCTGGTACTTCATGGTTCCAGAATTATGCCTAATATGGTGTTACATTTTGTTGCTGGATACGCCGAACTTTACAGAACCAAAAATGTAAACTCTGAAGATGGCTCTCCCTGCATTATTTCCTTGACCATACTGCTTATCAGTTGGAAAAATGCCTCTGCAAGCTTAGATAGAGAGATAAAAAATCACACACATCGTAAACTTTATGTGAGCATTAAATGGCATAGCTCATGGAAAGTGCTTAGGGAAACACTTAGCACAGAACAAATACTGAATAAATATAAACTACTATCATTGTCATTATGATGCTTCATTGACTTTAAAATGCTACCAAAACAAATGAAAAAGAGAATTACCACATATAACATTATAACATGGTGAACTGTGAATAAAAGACATTTTACTTTAAGTAAAAACTTGAGCTGCAACAGAAAAGCAGTATTTGACTCTAAAAGGTAACATTTATGGAGGAAGTAATTACTACTTCAAATATCTAAAGTCCCAGCAGCTCCAAAATAACCTTTCCTAGTTTAGTGAAAATCATAGTGTCGTATTATTTTTTCAAATGCCCATGTTAGCTAAACACAGAGAAAAAGTTTAGATTCCTTATTTCCCTGCCTTTAAAATAAGAGACAAGTCTGAAATAAGACTCAAAAGAGAATACTGTCTTCTGAATTTAAGACATAGCAGATATGTTCATTTGTAAGACTATCTCAACATTTTTGATGGAATAAATATTTATTGTACACCTATTATGTGCCATGCATTATGTGAGGTGGTAAAGACTCAGAATAAATCATACTCTCTGTCTTTAAGCAGCTCACAGTCTAACAAAGGGAGCTACATATCTAAACAGTGACATGCAATGCCTGCTGTAGTGCTGTATATACTTAAAACAAGAGAAACCAATGGCATACTGCACAGTTCTATTTGGGGGACAGGGGAAAAATAGGCTCAAAAAATATCACGGGCAGACAGGCTGACTTCAATGAAATGGTGCTCCTATTTTTTTCATAATGGGTGAAGAAGGTTGCAATGCAAAATTGTAATCTGAAACTCGGTAATCTCATTTTACCTCTTTCTCATTAAGGCAAAAGAAAAAAGCCACTCAACAATTTTAACTTGAAGGTTTAAGAAATATTGAAGCACTGACTTTTTGAACACTGGGGACAAGTGTGGGGCTGCCATATAAGAAGGAAATCAAAAAGAAGGTGAATTACCTTTTTAAAGGTACTTATGGTGAAGAGCAGTTCTTTTCACTCTGATATTTATTGCATGAAATCAGAATTATTCTAAAGTAAAAGAATAATTACCACTGAACTGGCACCCACTATTTCTCCCTTGAAACATACATAACTTAGTGTGTGGTCACCTTATAATTCATTGCAATTTCCATAACTCGGTGTACAGTTCCTTAGTCTTTTTTTCAGTGCCCCCATGTTTATAAATGGGATTACTATAGTTCTATTAAAATATACATATTATTTTTATGGTAACCATCTTCAGTAAAGTTTTAGAATGAAAAGTATAAAGCCATCAGTTTTTCCAAGACTTTAATCCATTAGAGTATTTTACGACAGGTTCTAATTCAAATTTTTCATGTTTTGCCTTATTAGTTGGCCACACTGTTCAAACCACAGGCAAAATTAGAAAATACTTAAAATCAATTATTGAACAGAAACATAGTTTTTCATGTGCCACAAATCAAATATTTACTGACAAGTTGTCAATTTTGAATGAAATTGAATATGAATATGTATTCAGCTGTTCAGGTGTGAATTGTCACCTGGACACACAATCACAGCTTCACAGTGATACCACACTCATTCGACAGTGGGTAGTGAGACTTAGTATGTAAGACAGTATTCCCCTTAAAGACAACCCAAAACTGCTTACCAAGTCTAGGCCAATGCCACAGGCAGAGCTAGACAATTAGACATGCAAATCCATTCAACCATTGAACTTCAATTTTGTAAAATTCTCTAGAATTTTTTACTTCTACGAGAAGTACCAGTGGTGAAAAAACACCCCACTGTCAAATGCAACTGACTTTTAGGACATTTTGCAAAGAAAATGGCCAATAATGAAAGTCGGCTGAAAAACAGGCTTTTGTTTTAGGGGGGGAATGATTGTTTTAATTTGTGTGTGCATCTTATTTTTTGTTGTTTTGGTGGTGTTGTTCTTTTGAGACTTCCCTTTTTACTACAATTTGAAAATACTGTAGGGGAAATGGGTTAAGTTTATGTTTCTAGATGTTCCTGGGTTAGACTATTAGAATGAAAAATTTTACCTATATGAGAGATTAAACAGGTACTTTTCCCCTCCATTTTCATCTTAGGGAATAAATGATGTGTAATGGCATCTGGCTAATTTGTGAAAAGAGGGAAAACTATGTTAACCTACAGTGCTGTTCCTTTCATCATGAACTAAAATTTCAATTTTATGGTTAAGTAGAAACATAAAATTCTAAAAACATCTACTTCTAACATCCACCTAAAACAAACTAACCTTCTGTTCCATAATATCGCATTTTTACAGAATGCTTACTTTCATTTCAGAATTATTTAATGTTATATTTGATTTGCTGCTGTGAAGTCTGTTTATAATGGTGACTAACTCCCAGAAATATTTGGCTTTCCTTTTGAGTGTAAGGTCTCTGGGTTTCTAAGTGCCTATTTTTCAGTAAGATTTCTTCTCTTATATATATTATTAGAATGAGAGCACTGAGTAATCTTCAGATTCTTCATTAATACTACATGTATATCCACACAGGTGTCTGCAAAAGTAGGTTAATAATAATAGAAAATAATACAAGCTAATAAATAATAATACAATAATAAACTGTGTTTTGAGTATTCACAACTGGAAACCTACTTTTGCCCACCCTTGTGTATGTTTATATATCATGCTGAAAACTGAACATTCAAGTAGATTTCTGAGATGTATTTCATACAAACACTGAAATGTTCAAAGGTAGGATATCCACTGCCAAAAAAATTAGAAAAAAGAGATCTAGTTCTTCATGTCAAAAAGTTCATCAATTTTTCTCCCAAATTCTTTGCTTTGTCCCCTTGAGGCAGTTCCATAATGCCCTTCACACTGGATGCTTCAGCAAACAGCCCACAAGTGGTCATGCCATTTCACCGCACTGACATCTCCCTGACCAGGGTACGCAGTTGCTCCAACTGCCCTGTGTTAACTGATACCGAGTTGTTACGTGAATGGTTTTTAAGCTGAGCAGTAAAACTCTAGAGGTTCTACTGTTCTTGTTGTCGTTTTTCCTAAACTGGTAAGTGTAGGTGTTCACAAAATCACTATTAATCATACACTCAAGAAAAAAGAGACCAAGTCCTGGGTAAAGAAAACAAGGTATTTTAATTTGTAAAAAAAAATCTAACAGAAGGAGTCTAGCTGTGCAGAATAACTGAGAGCATCATTAAGAGCAATATCTGTTTTTAATTTAGTCTAAATTCCCTTCCCCACCCCCAGAAACTCCTTTATTTTCCTTGTGATAGAGAGAGTTCTAATACCAGATGAGATGCTCAATCATTTGGGCATGTTGGAACCCAGCTAGACAGAGGGGCTTTGAGCAGATCCTAACCCATCTAAAGCAGTGTTGTAATATATTGCCATTCACATTAGAATGTATTGAATACTGGAATTACAAAATAGTTGAAGACATCAAAAACAGCAGAAGGTATTAACCTTCATTATTATAATTGTTACCAGATTTTTTTTTAAAAGACAGATACATCTTATTCTAGCTCAAGGTGGCAACAGTAGCTTGAACTCAACCCCTAATCTTTTCATCATTACCACCAAAATAATGATGAGAAAGATGAAGGGGAAGCATGAGGTCATGGAGGAGCAGGAGCTGAGGGCAGGCCGAATGGCGCACAGCCGGAGACTGCCAACTTCATTCATTACAGACAGTTGCAGCATAGATGCTGCCAAAAGGCTACTAAAGAGGGACCATAAGAAAGCTTCGAGACTATGTCCTAACTGCAGGTTTATGGTCATTTCTGATAAATTTAAGAAAGAAAAGACTCCACTGCCACAGGTGACCTGACGCTGCTTTCTACAGACATTTACAAGCCAACAACCTGGCTTCGGAACCAGTGTAAATTGGTTTGAGGTATTACTGTATCAGAAACAAATGTCACTAGTGTTTGGGTTCTCGAGGTACACAAGAAGACTCTCCCTGAAGAATGAATAACACTGGCTCATTCATCAGGGCATGGCATAGGCTATAGTCCTTTAGTATAATTTTCTGAGTCATTCATTTCCCACAGCTGTTTGTATGTATTTATATGCATATATGTGTGTGATTCGATTAAATGTACAAATATGTGTATATATATATATACCAGATTATATATAGATAGATATAGACATAGACATAGACATAGACAGACATAGACATAGACATAGACATAGACATAGATGAGACAGACTAGATATAGATGCAGATATTGACAGACACAGACGGACATACACTAGACAGACATAGACATGGACTAGACGGAGGCATTTGGAAAATAACATCAAAGAATGGATGTTTCCTGATCTTATTTTCCAAAGCTCTGTGTGGAATAATTCTTAACTATATACATTTTAATAAAACCAAATTAGTAATTGTGAAGTTCTTTTTTCTAATTTTTTATTTTTTAGTTGCAGCTGGCATTCAATATTCTATTACTTTCAGGTGTACAGCATAGTGGTTAGACTATGTATAATATTAGAATATTATATACCATATTCTCTGCACTATGTTTCACATCCTTGTGGCTATTCTGTAACTGCCAGTTTGTACTTCT